ACACACTGTCAGGACAGGGACTGGACGGGGAGAACCTTATTCCATCTTCAAGGATCCTTCGCCGCCTTGCCTTCCTGATTGATGAGGACATAAACCTTAACCGGGCAACAAAAACATCTAAAAACGGAGTATGAGCTCTCCCGTCGGTTAGTGCCGGATTCACCATGCCTCAATGGCCTAAGGCCCCGAGAGACAATGTAGATCCGTGGGAGGCAAGAATCCGTAATCACCTAGAGCCTGGATGAGTCTGTGTGTGTATGTTCTCCATCGCCCAAAAACAAAAAATATCGACATACAAGTACGAATGAAGCTGTGGACTGGCAACCTCGTGGGCTGAATGGACAAAGCGCGTCACCTTGAGGTATTCGGAGACAGACAAAGAAATTTAAGGAATTTCCGGTCACCAATGCGTCTGGGAGCATCAGCAGGCGGGCGTTTGAGTAGCTGGATTTGATGTATCGAGCTGTTGATGTTCTATGTACCTGCCCTAAAATTGTCTCAGGGGTCCTAACTACCTTATGGTTCGGTCGTGGCGATGATAATTTACGTGACACCTTTTCTTTTTGAGACACAAGTGCCCCACGTTTTCATCAAGGAGGGCAGCGGTACATAACAGACTAGGTCAAAAAGTAGAAGAGGGAAACAGAAAAATTGGAAATTTGATGCTACACAGGAGCAGCTCGGTTGTACAACGACTACTGCTAACCTTTTCTTTTTAAAGGACGATTATCCCTGGCCTCTACATTAAGCGATGCACAATCAACTTTATTAAATTATTCTATAGAAGTGGAGACTAGCGGCCTCCATGGAAGCCACCCACTGGTCTCTCCGGCTTATGTATGTTTCCAAAGATGGTGCCCCCAAGGAGGGATGACGCAGGCACACTGCCATCATCTGATTCGGGAATTCCGAATTTGCGGTTTCCCTCGAAGCATAAAGGGAGTAACGACAGGCCCACGATGCCTTGAACGAGGTAAAGATGCCCGTGAACACCACCGTCGATGCATCCGGCCAAGGCCAAAACAAGTTTTCGCTAGCAAACGATGTGCCGCCGATGCAATCGATGTGCGACCACTGCCGGGCCGGGTGGGCTGCTGATGGAACGGGAGGCCACATCAACACTGCACCGACACAAGGTCGTGCACACATTGAGCCAAGGCACCCGCACGAGATCCCGCCATAGCCGTGCACGGAG